TTGGAGTAGATATAAGTTTACCTCCTGCAAAGTTAATCTGCTTAATGCTTCCGGCCCCACCATCACCTTTGATAAACTCAACACTTTTAATAGCATCTGGCAAGAGTTTTGGCATCAAATTGTGGGAGTCGAGAATTGAGGCTTTGAAAATTCTTGCTGGAGGGATTGTTGAAATGTGTTCATCAGTATATGTCAAGACACCCATGGTTTTCAAGGATAATAAAATGGTTAAAATGGGTTGATTTGAGTGTTTTGGAGTGTGTATATTGAAGGTTGATGTGGGTTGTATTTATACTTCATAGGTTGAAATGTGTAGACGATTGTGAAGTTGTACTTGATGCAATTGTAGTTGTACATTTGCATTGGCAAGATCAACATTCTGTTACTTGTCCACATTTGAAATGGGCTTTAGCCACAATAAACGATAGGAATCAAACAAAATTAAGTATAAGTCTCACAATTTTAGTGTTAATGTTATTAATCTTTCTATACATCCATTTTATTGGCTTTTATCTTTTGTATGTGTGTGTATGTGGGGGGTGATGTTTCTAAAATTAAACGTAAGAGATGTCATAAACGTAAACAAAAATATAATCTTAAAATTTAAAGAATATAATTTAAAAATAAGAAATAAACAAAAAATCCACATAGACATATTGTGACCAAAATGTGCTTAAGTGGATGTCATGTAGGCATGAAAAATGGTTGTTTTTTGCTATATCATGTGATAATGGTCAATTGAAGCCAAATTTCTAAATTTACTAGCAAACTCTTATTTATTAGAACATTGATGTGTTAATTGGCCATACATGATGGCTACATATAAGATAACCCCAATATTTTAAATAAACTATAATATCAACATGATAATTTGAAATTTCAAAAAGGTGAATATTTGAAAATTAACTTATCCTTATAAATGTCCTTTATCCTTATAAATGTCCTTTATAAAGGATTTTAGACTAATTTTATTTATTATCAAACTATTTGGTAATATGAAATTATTGATTATGGTTTATAAGCATGTTGGATTTTGTCTAATGTTGTAGAAATCTAACTAATTATATTATATTTTTGAGTTTGTTTAAACTTAAAAAATACATATAGCTTGGTGTTAAATCCGAGAAATAAGAAAACCAACTAGGTTCCATTTCTGAATACGAGCATACTAGACCAAACTAAAAGTTGATTCTTTAACATACTCTCAAATTAAAAATCTTGAAAACCATCTAAAAGAAAGTAGAACGAAATGTAGAATTGAGTGTTGTATGTGTTACACTACTTCCAAATAATCTTTTAAACAAATTCGCACTTCCATCTATTAAGGTATTTGTCTTGTTTTTTATTGTAATATAATCCAGCGACCGACAAAAAAAATAAAATTACAAAGCTAACATGAAAGCTTTGGCTGTTAGTAAATCACAGGTCGTAAAACTTTGGACTCATTATCTCTCCACCTTGACAAATATGTAAATTGATAATTTCTTCAATAGCTATAAATTATATAAATTTGATACAATATTGTTTCCTAATTCGTTATCAAGGTTGTTGGTTCATGCAAGTTTACAAGCTTATTTTAAGAGGCTATTGTTGGTAATTTTCATAACCAAGACATAAAACACGGAAGCATAACTTTAGATCTTTAATCTCGAATCTGTCAAAAGAAAACTTTAAACCTGAAAGAATGATTAGATACCTTGTTCCATTGAGATTTTCGGATCTAGAGACTAGGAATAGCTTTCTAGTTGATCTCAAGAACTCCCTCTAAAATCCCCCAACAATGAACCATACGAATTTCTTAGTGTATTTTCGTGTGTCTTGATCTGCTCCTCATCACATATATTTATAGATGGAGATAAACCCTAATGTGAGAGATGGAAGGGATCTTGAGGATCTTGAGTCAAACCGGAAACTCAACCCACAAGGTAAATAAATATTCTATAAATCGGCCCATCAACAATTTATACTCTTACCATAATAACTGGATTTAATAATATATCGTACATATTTATGAAGTGGTCTCATAATTATCCAACAATCTCCCACTGGACCACGAATATATAAATGTACGTATAACTGTATAAGCGCTTTAATGAATGTTATTATAACATTGGTACCCTTAAACAATCTCGTCCACTAATCATAATAGTATAGGATCAAAGCGGCCTTCGTTACAATTTACGTAACTAAACCTATCAATGGTCACATATACATATATAACTAACGACATAGATTAAACATGATGTGTGGTTTTAAAATCTAAATAGATTTCCAACGAGTTCCTCTTTAGATTGAAGTGAGATCAAACTTCAAATAAGTGCAACTAATAATGGAGTTAACCGAATTCTTAATTCTGTACAGAAAAACATAATTGATCTTAAACAAAACATAAAGCACCATAAAACTCCCACTAAAACCAAATATCACACCAACGTGTGTAGTATGCTCATGAAAGACCTAGGGAGGTAATCCCTTTATGAGCGGATCCGCTTTCATGGAGTTTGTTCATATGTGCTATATATATTTCCATTTTGCACTATTGTGTTAACAGAAGGAAACTTGATGTCAATATGCTTTGACTTAATAGAACTCCTGTTGTTAGAATATAACATTGCTGACTTATTATCACAACTTTAGTGGTCTTTCAATACTAAGAAATGTGTAGCCTCGTGACAAATTTCCGCAACCATATTCCATGCTACAAATTATGCTGCCATTATGGAAGAAGCTACCGAAGTCTATTCCATGAAATGGTTTATCATGCTAAAATGTAAAAGTATCCTGATATGGATCAGTAACCATTTTGGCATCTAATAAAATCAAATTCTTAATAAAAATGATCTCCAAAACATCTGAATTTCCTATAGTTGAGCATATAGACTTTTGTTATATATAGATAACTCAAATCCATTTGGTTGCTTTCTTATGATCCAAACTTGAGTTGCATAGATATCTACCCAAAACCAAAAAGATAAATTTACTCCCACTTAATCTGTGATACACAAAATCATCTATTGTATTTACCTCAAAACCAAAAGAGATAAAAAAAATTGATGAAAAATATGGTACCACGCATAGGATATCTAAAGTTGAGGTTGTTGAGTTTGTGTATTCTGAATAGGAGATTGAATAACATTGTCGATCACTTTTCCATAATTTGCATACTATCGAAAGCAATAATAGGAATCAAGATTGATTCCTCCTTAAAGACAATGTTTTAACCTTGTTTCTCCCCCAAACTCAACATCCTCAAAGAATGTTGCTCTATCCAAAAATGCAAGGTCAATACCCATACAATTGAGAACTAACATAATGTCCTCATTCCATTCCTTAAAGTTAATCTCATTGAGTACATGACTCATAAATGTGATCAATGTTAACAAATATAATACCATAATTCAAACATAAGCAAATCTATTTTTATGCTCATTAATCCATAAACCGTAATCAATAAATTCAATTTATGACATCTTTATAAGGTACCAACACAACATTAATATCAAGTCTTTGGACAGTAATACTAACTTGCAAGAGATAACCTTATTTTAGAGATAAACATTGACAATAAATCATGTCAATTAACAAGCCCCTCTTTGGATTGACTTATTAATCACATGAAACCAAAAAATCGCCACATGTTTATCACAACATATATGTTTATTCGGCCAAATATCAGTCTACCTTTGGGTCGGCTAATACCCGCATTAATAAACACATAAACTATAAATTTTGATAATAAGAATTGACAATATATCATGTCAATTAACAAGCCCCTCTTTGGATTGACTAATTAATGACATGTAACCTAAAAATTGTCACATATTTATCATCAAACATGTGTTTATCCGGCCAAATATTAACCTACATTTGGGTTGATTAATATCCGCATTCATAAACACAAACCATAAAATTTAAGTTCTTTGTAAATTAATTTTCACAAAAGAGATCACTTTGACGATATATTGTGTCAATTAATTTATCCTTAAAATAAATAATAGGTCATAAATGAAATTTATCAATAACCAATAAATAAAAAAAATTACAAATATTAATCGGTATCAAAATTACCGATTTCATAACTGCTGCAGATATTACAACCATAATAACATAATCTTACTTTTAGATAAACATACATCCGGTTGCAGCATTGCTTAAAAAAAATTAAACCTGATACCAATTGTTGGTAATTTTCATAACCAAAACATAAACGCGGAAGCATAAACTTTGGATCTTTAATCTCGAATCTGTCAAACGAAAACTTTAAACCTGAAAGAATGATTACATACCTTGTTCCATTGAGATTTTCGGATCTAGAGACTAGGAAGAGCTTTCCAGTTGATCTCAAGAACTCTCTCTAAAATCCCCCAGCAATGAACCATACGAGTTTCTTAGTGTATTTTCGTATGTCTTGATCTGCTCCTCATCACATATATTTATAGATGGAGATAAACCCTAATGTGAGAGATAGAAGGGATCTTGAGGATCTTGAGTCAAACCGGGAACTCAACCCACAAGGTAAGTAAATATTCTATAAATCGGTCCATCAACAATTTATACTTTTACCATAATAACTGGATTTAATAATATATCGTACATATTTATGAAGTGGTTCCATAATTATCCAACAGCTATACTTATTATAAAGTTGTATTGCAGAATCTAACAATGCACCAATGTTGAGGCACTTCAAAGTGGTTGTGTATTTGTCAAGATAAACATCAAATAAGCTTGTAAACATATTATTAAGATTTCTTTTCTTAGTTTGTTGCAAATGAGGGGTGTTCCTTAGTTAGGTCTAAGGTATCAACTATATTTTCTATTAAGATTGACACCTAAAATATTTATAGTCAGATTTAGAGCAACAATATACGTACACAAATCATCAATTCTCTTCGTTATATAAAGAAGTGCTTTTTTGGATAATATTTTATTAATAATGCAATATTTATTTCTCAGAAAACACAAGGAATCTTAAAAATATCAAACACATATGTGAATCTTCAAACATATGCATCAGGGTTTTCAAGAAGGTAAGCTTCCACAACCTTGTAAAGCCCTAACACCTTTTCTTTTCCTGCATTTAGTTCTTCTTCCTCGAGTTCAAAATCACCATGGGTGTAAATAGTACTAGTCATCTTTGAAATTGTTCCATTATCAGGTGTAGCTTCAAACTTAATATCATAGGACACCTTTTCAACCTTGTCGGATATGCCCATACCTTAAATTAAACTATACTTAAAGTTTTCGTTTGACAAATTCGAGATTAAAGATAAACGCGGTATGTAAAATGATTACATACCAAAACGTTTTCCTTGTCTCCCACACCTACGTTTATAATCTCACCTCTATAATCACACGCTAACAGTATTGTGCTGAAAACATTAGACTCGAAGTACCCTATCTATCTTTTTTAGGAATCTTCCAACTTTCACAACCATTGTCACCTGGAGAAATTCACATTCGATTATTTGAGCTTTCTAATGGCCTCTTGCGTTCTTAATCTCCCAACGCTGTAATCACAGGCGTTCTAAGATAATGGAGGGTACAACTTACACAACAGAAAGTACTACTCATTTTTTTCTTTCTTTTTTCCTTATTTTTGTTTGATATTCGATCCATCATTCCATCTTAAACCCAATTCTCAGTTGTCATATTGGATTCAACATCAATTTTTATATCAACTAGAAGTGAAAACAAAGACTAATTGTATAGTCCTTAATGCACACACCAACTGCTCGTAGAAATGCTCCAAGACAAATCTTCCATGAATTTGTACCTGTTCTGATTTTCATGACGACTTCAAAGTTCAAATCACTAGAAGACAACCGTAACACCACCCTTCTTTCTCCATTGTAAGAGCCTCATCAAACCATAAACCACAGCCCTTGTTCATTTTTTAACACAAATCGGAAAAATCAATAAAAACGTCTCCTGCGTGACAGAGAGAGGAGAATGCAACACCCTTTTCCCTTGTTCCTAATTTTTGACCAGCGATCGAAGAAAAAAGGGAGAGTCGAACGAGTAGTGGGGTGTACCGGCGACGACTCACGTCAGAAACTCGTGTGAGCTCCGACAACACCAAATGGAAGTCGCTATTTTCAACATTCCCTGAGGAAGAGAATACCATGGAAACACTAAAATGGAAGGGATTAAACATTTCACAGGAAGAAGACGAGTCGTTGTTCAAACTGAATCCGAATGTGTCTTAGGAATGGAGCTAGATCGAAGTGATAATGCTTATACAGTCAAAAGAAGGTTACAAATAGCTCTCAGTCTCACAATTGAAGAAAGTTCTTTAACTTTTGGAGACATGGTTTTAAAAATCGTGATCAAATAAAAGGGAAGTGGGGGGATTTTTTTCTGGAGGAAGAAGAAGAATGGAGAAGAAGAGAGAAAGGGGAAGAGACGAACAAAGAGAGAGAAATGGGTGGGCTTTGAAAATTCTTGATGGAGGGATTGTGGAAGTGTGTTCATCGGTATATGTTATGACACCCATGGTTTTTGAGGATTAAAGATGATTAAAATTGATTAATTTTGAGTGTTTTTGAGTATGTAGATGGTTTTCAAGGCTAAAAGATAGGTTGTATTTATAGGTTGAAATGAGAAGAGTGTTGTGGAGTTGTAATTGTACATTCGCATTAATCGGCAAGATCAACATTCCGTTTCTTGTCCACATTAAAAAACTTAATGTATGTAATAAATACTAAAAAAAGATAATCTTTTGATTAAATAATAAACATGAAACTTACGTAATAAATGAAAACAGGCTTACATGGGCGTTATATAGGCATGAAAAGTAAAAAATTGGTTTTATTAGCATAGTGGCAAACTCATCTTTATTAGAATTTTCAGGAGACTTGGTAACTTAATCAAACATTGATGGTTATAACTTATAACTCAATATTTAATTTAATAAACTCTAAAATCAACATGATAATTTTAAATTCTATTACAAAACATTTTAATGATAGAAAAAGTTAATATTCAAACATTAAGTGTCCCTTAAAATCAAGGTTGTCAAGATCGGGATCCTACGTAGGATCGTTTTTGGGTTTGCAAGACCGGGATCGAGATCCTAAGATCCCACAAAATAAAATATAATTTTAATTTATAATTTTTAATCATGAAAAATATTTCAAACATTTAACTTTTTGTTCAAAAGTTATAAAAACTTCAAAATATTAGTCATAAGTCACAACACAAAATGATAAACGGTAAATTGATAAAGGGTAAAAGACATAAAATGGTAAAAAAAAATTCATTTGCAAAAAAAAAGGGAAGGTAGGATCGGATCGGATCTCGATTCTACGATCTTACCCACGATCCTACCTCAAATACGATCAGTTTACGATCCGGATCGTTTTTCATACCTAGGATCGTACGATCCTACGATCAGGATCGCGATTTTGACAACGATGCTTAAAATGTCTATTTTTGGTCTTTAAAGTTAATTTATTTTCAGATATTTTGTAGTATTGATTATGGTTTATAAGTTTATTGGATTTTTTTTCTGATATTAGAAATTTAATTATTAATAACTATATGTCAATTCAAGTATAAATTTTATGAGAATTTGAAAAATCTATACTAAAATAGAGGTGTCAAATCTGAGAAATAATAACCGGTCTTTAATGAATTAATGGTAGGCTGTAGGGATGGAAATGGGGCGGGTGTGGGGCGGAGTTGACCATCCCTGTCCCCATCCCCAAGCGCCTAACCTCGTCCCCATTCCCATCCCCATCCCCGACGGATGTGGGGAATCGAATCCCCTCCCCTTTAAATTTTGGGATTTTCTCCGACCCATCCCCGATCCATCAAAATAATAAACTAAGCTTACGCAAAAAAAAATCAAGCTTAATAAGTGATAAAAAAAGAGGCTTGATCAGATTATGTTTACATCAATCATAAAATCTAAGAAACATTAAAACGAGAAGTGACGATGTGGTATACGGACCGTCAAACAAAGTAAGGATTTAAGAACTCTTGGAATTAGGAACATAATTTGGTATATGGACTCTCGTCTAATACAAATCAATTCATTCTTAGTGGACTTATTTCATAATTCCAATGCGGGGACGGGGCGGGTTGGAGATTGGTATACCCGACCCCAACCCCATCCCCGATTTTAGCATAATGGGGATCCCCAGCCCCATACCCAATACTCGTTTTTGCAGGGAATACTAATCCCCAATTGAGGCGGGTCAACCGGGTCCCCACCGGATCGGGTGAAATTTTCATGTCTAGTAGGCTGGTAGGCGTCTTGAGCCCAAGAAGTATATAACGGGTCTTGGGCTGGACCAAGTTAATGTTTATTTTTTGCTTAAAAAATTATGAAGAATATTTTTTTAGCAATCTGTTTACTCTAACCAAACAAATATTTATTTTATTTATTATTATATTCAAAAGAAAAAAAACACTACGAACTCTCTTCGTTTTGTGGATATATTTTGGACTTTTGTCATTGATATTGTCATCGTACTGTGAAATTGTGGGATATCGTCAATGTCTATGTTTTCGTCTAACTCTAAATTAGTAGGGGATATTGAAAAACCTTAATCACTTGTGTTTGCTAAAGCCCTTACAAACTAATGGATGTAAACAAATAGCGCACTCTTCCACTACAATGGGGAGAAATGTCTGTATACCTAATCTATGCAGAGTAAGCACTTTGAGAATTCAAGAGAAGGTCACGACGGACGAACTTTTTATCATTACGAAAGGTGTCAGGTGGAAGTGCAGTGATGTATGCAGCCGAGACACAAACATATCAAGAAAAATAACAATGGACGGGTTCTTAGATTTATTTGTGACCTTTGAGGAGACGTATGGGATGAAAATCTCATGTATGGTTTAGGAATAGGGATGAGAACAATGATATTATCATCCACTATGATTATCTAAGTGTTTAAGGTTGATATCTGATTTTCTTAAAGTTGATTGCTTTATAATTTAAATATGGTTGTTTATTATCTGTAAAATTAAATTATTTAAGTGGACAATTTGGAACACCATATGGGATTTAAAAATTTATTGCTTTACAATTTTGATTCCTTTAGATAAAACCAAATTTATAATTTGCATTTCAAATTAACTTTGTTACTAAAATAAGAATTATAATAGTACAAACAAACTGAATAATAACTAATTTAATTTTTCCTTATTTATTAACTTATAGATTTTATTTTAGTATAAATCTTAAATTAATATATATATATATATATATATATATATATATATATATATATATATATATATATATATATATATATATATATATAGAGGTTTAGGTTCTATGGAAAACAAAAAACTCTAAAAAAAAACCCTAAAAATGCATAAAAATGCATAAAAAAATCCTTAGAGATCACAAAACTTTTTTTTGAATTTTTTTTATAAAAAATCGCAGCTTTTTCTTAAAATTCGCTGAAAAAAAATAAAATATAATTTTTTTTTTATAATTTTTTTTTTTGGATTTATTTAGGGTTTTTTTGTTTTCCAAATAACCCTTCTATATATCTATATATATATATATATATATATATATATATATATATATATATATATTAAAATGTCTCTTAGGGACGGTACGAAAAGAGCTAAGAGCTCAAAGGACAACTCTTTCCTCACCTGTTCTACGTATACCGATCACCAACACTCACGGACACTCCCCGGGGTCGGGAAACTTCCAACCTTCTATACTGATACCTTTCTTGTATACCACTTATGGGATTGTTTGAGAACTCGTCTTCAATGGGGCCTGCTCTTTCTTTTTTGGGAGAGTATAAAGTTAGGAACAGTAAACCATGTGGTGGTTTGGCATAAATGGTCCTTGCATTATTCTGGTGTCTCATATTTTGGCTTGGTTGTTGTTTCTTTGTCTTTTGAGCAGTATATGATGTTTTCTACAAACTTTCTATACACATGTTTATACACGTGTTTGTCGACTGTTTTGTTGACTGTTTTGGTAGCCAATCAGAGTTGGATTGGTGTAATCACATGGAATCTCTTATTTTCCATTTTTTGTTTTTTCGCTTCATCTCTCTATTCTTATTACACTCTCGAACCTTACTTCTTGATGTCTACTCCACCTTCTCCACAGCTCGCCTTCTCCGCTGGGTTTCCCTTAACCCTACACACTTCCGGGTCTACACATCTTTTCTAGGGCTTTATCCTTTCTTAGACTCTCAGACTCTCACCCGATCATGAAGCCTCCGATACTACTTCCGGTACTGTTCAAAACTCGGTTGGCTCAGCTTCTCGATTACACCACCATTCTTTAGTTTTCCTTTCGTTCCATATCTGCGCACCGCTCCAATTTTGGTCATCGCAACCACTTGTCTGATCCTTACCGGAACCCCGTTTTGGAAACCGCGGGGACGTGGCGACGGCTACACCAACGGAGACGCTACAGAAGGCGAACACTCGGGAAGGGTTTTCGAACGCCGCAGTGGAGCCGGAAGCGGGTTAGTATTGAGCCGGTTTCCTCCTCACTGTCCCCTTCCATCTCCACTGTCTTCCAATCGGAGGTTTAGAGTGGTTTTCTTGCTGTCACCGCTGCCATATCACCTCTATTTTCCGTCGATTCCAATCTACCTCTATTTTCCGTTGATTTTGTTTCTCTCTGTTTTGTTGTCTCTATTTGTGGGTATCTTCTTCTTCTTCTTCACACCTTCATTTGTCTTTCAATTTCCGACCCAGCTGTTGTGTCGCTTCCTTCTTTGGCAGGTTGAATCTGAACAGTTCTTGAACATGCTCAGTTAGAAATGGATATCTTTTTCATTATTGTTGCTTATTATTATTATTATTATTATTATTTTCATTTGCAGAGGTTTACAAATTTACACATTTTCTTATTCCGGACAGCTACATGCAAGGCTTCTGATTTTACCAACACTGGTAATTTTAACAGCTATCTAATATTTTATTTCAATAACCTTTTTTCAGATGACCACCGGCCATATTCTCAACCTAATTAATTGTCTTTCTTGCAATAGGTTTGTTTTTTGTTTTCTAAACTTTACTTTCTATCTCGGTTTGTATGATTTCTGCCCCTAATTTCAATCCCTAAATTTTGCAGATGCTTCTCCGATAAACCCAAAAGCAACAAGAAAGATGACGAACCTGTGTTTT